TACTTTTATTTAAGACACAAGTTCTGAACGAAATTCTTCCCAGGAAACACTTAGTCCTTCGAAAGCCCAAACCCTGGGTCACAATACCAAAACCAGTAGGAAAAATATTAAAGGACAAGGTCCGGGAAAGCCTAAATTTCCCTGGTGGCAGCCAGATTACCCTGGGAGCAAACATAAAGAACATTTTAAAAGTAAAACTAGACCTCCCCAAATAAGAGGTCGTCACAGGGACAGTTTCAAGTTTATATTAATAGAAAAGATATACATGCTACTGTAGAGTAACTCAGTCATTGAGGGGAACTGAAGATTTGGTGGGAAAAATCTGCCAGAGAGATGGGGAGAAACAGAGGTCCGTCATACAGGTCCAACTTTTTTTTGATTGGTCAGCAACCCTAGTTCTGTTCCAAACTGTATCTAAGCTGGAATCACATGGTTTCCAGCTGGGGCAGAAGCATTTCAGGAACAAAGCAGGCCACCCCCCCACCCCCCAACTGATTTCTGCCAGGTTCCTATCAGATCTTGAAAATCTGACAGGTTAGCAGAGCACAGTCTATGACCTCTCCAGATTTAGTTCTGTGCCAGCTACCATCCACAGAACTGCCTACTTTATTGATTCATGAACCTTCTGGGAGTTACTCACTGTTATATACCAATGGCACACCCCTATGCTGTCTCACACTGCTGTGAGTTTCAAAAGTAATTTATGGTGGGCTGCTGTTCAAGGAACACTATTCCAAAGTTAATGCTCTTTGAGCAGCACAAAACACAAAGGTGTCTGGACTGTGGTCTTATGCACCACTCCTGCAGCATTTGCACAAATGCTTCCATTAAGTACTTCTCCTAGTGATGTATATTTTATGTTGGCTGAAATGCTGTGCCTATCACATGCTCCTTGGCAGTAAAAGACTATGAAAGATGCTGCATTTGAAAAGTAGTACTCCACCCAACTATGTGTGTTCATGAAGACAAAAACAGTTATTATCATTCGCAGAACTACCATTTCCCTTCTGCCAGTGTCTCTGGTGTTCTGGTAACTACAGCTGCAATCTTGTATGCACCTACTCAACACTGAACTCCATGGGGTTAACTTACTCTTAAACATGAACAGGATTGTGTGTAAATGTTCTCTTCCTACCACTTAACAACTCCTGAGGAAGTATGGCTGGAACTATTTCTAGGGATAATTCCAGCTTCTATATAGATAGCCCAACAAGTAGGCTATAGTACAGTCCGCAGTTAACATTCCCATACTGCAGCAGATGAGAGAGAATGGCTTGTCATGTAGCCAAGTGTTAGCCAGAGAGGGGAGAAGGGCGGGCTGGGATAGAGGTCAAGTGCCATAGGACAATCCTACTTTGACCACTTGGTGTGGTTATTACTGTGCTATTAAGTTCTCAGACACTGAGGAGAGCGGGTCTGTGGCAGGCCCGTAGCCAGAAAATTTTCAGTGGGTGGGCACAGAGGGTCACATGCCCACATCACTTCTGACATCACGCGCCTATGTCACATCCAACATCACAAAAAATAATAAAATTAAAATAAATAAAATAACAGGGTGAGAAGAAGAGCCGTAGAAAGGGTTCCTCCCCCGCCAGAAACCACTGGTCTTCTCCAGGTGGGCTGGGCAGCTCGTGTCGCCTTCTGTGCACTGGGGAAGCGAAAGAGGAGGAAGGCGCAAGGAAAGAAGAGGTGCTGTTAGTGCTCGGAGCAGGCAGCAAGAGCCTTGTCAGCAGCGCTCCCAGGGAAAAGTCTTATTGAGTGGCTGAGACTGGGGACGGGGGCAGCCAGGTCCAGCCTTGGGCCCCCCACACCATGGAGATAGGAGTTCCACTGGCTCGACCAGGCCGACAGCTGGGCCACCATCTACCAGGTGAGCTGAGCTGAGCAGGGGAAAGGAAGCCGAGCAAAGTGATCACGGCGGCACCTGGGTAGGCCTGCCTCAGTGTCTCACTGTGCCTGCGCAGACAGGAGACAGTGGCGTGCCCTGGCGCCTCACTGCACCTGTGCAGCCAGCTGAAAATGGTCCGCCTTTGTAGCCAGCCTCCTGCCCCCTCCCTGCTCCATGTCATGGGTGCTGAGGAAGGGTCGTTGCCAGCTCCAGCAGAACCCACAGCTGGCCCCTCTGAAGCTTCAGAGATTGGCAATTTGCCATCACCGCCCGCACTGGCACCTGGCTCAGAAACAGCTGACAAGGAGCAGCCACAGATGGAAAGCCCTCCTGACTTGCCACTGAGAGTTGCTCGCTTACGAGACCAACTCCGGCAGGACTTAGCAATGAGGCAACACACAGCTTGTTTGCAGAGCAGACGGTCTGTTAGTCCTGAGTTTTGACAGACACTTGGCTGCTGGTGCCGCTGCGCTAATTGGAAACAGCAGCAGAGGGCTATTTAGCTTCAGGCTCTAAGCTGGCTCCTTTGTGGAAGCAAACTTGTCAAACTCTGCAACGCTTTACGTTTACTCCACCTCCTGGTTCCAGACCTCGTTCCTGCTCCTCTCCTCCGGCTTCTGACTCTGGCTTGAATGACCTCGCTCCTGATTTGTGATTTGGACTTTCACTCTCAGTTCCTGCTCCACTCCTTTGGGATCAAGACCCCGGACTGAACTTGGACTTCCCTCTGCCTGCACCCCAGACCTTGACACTCCGCTTTGGAGAGTCAGATGCTGGCAAAGCCCAGTTAGGCTGCAAATAGAGAGGCAGCATCTCATGCAGGCTTGGGAAGGATGGTGAGGGGAGGGCGGACTGGGAGGGATGGGCAGTGAGGGGGCAGGGTACATTTGGCAGGGGGCATCTCCTCAGGCCTGGTATGTGGCTCATAGCAGAACAGCTGCTTGACACACAAAAGGTGCCAGGTTCACTCCCTGCATCTCTAGTTAAAAGGCTCAGGTAGTAGGTGATGTGAAAGACCTCAAAGAGCTGCTAGTCAGGGTAGACAGTACCTTGATGGACCAATAGTCTGACTCAGCATAAGGTAGCTTCATGTGAATATGTGACAAAAGGAACAAGAAACATGTGTTTAGTCTTTCTCTGTCATTATAACTAGGTAAGATGTCTACGGAATGTCAGTCAGTCAGGCATTTATTACGGCAACAAGCCATAGAAGTATGGAATGTAGATATGGCACCTTTAAGACCCACAAAGTTTTATTCATGGTATGCATTCCTGAGATTTTCTCTTTCCACTCCCCATTAGTATTAGCAAGTGCTAGAGAAATTTACCCAGAACTGTGACTAAATACTATGTAAGACATCAAAAGTGTTGCTGTCCATGATGCTGCTGCATGATTGCTACTTTCCCATGATGCAACTGGTGCTTCTGTGGCTTTCTAAACCTGTAATTTGAAGTTTTGTTAGCACAGCTCTTTGAAAACATAAAAAGCAACATGAGGATTAAATAGAATTTATCTGTATCCACCTAAAAGATGTATTGCAGAATATAATTACTGTTCTCAGGAGGAAAAAATATGTTTAGATCCGTGGATCAAAGGCATGTGAAGTTTCATTGTGAATTTAGCCTAGTGACTAGCCTAGTGAATTTAGACTAGCTCTTTTCATTCTCCTACTGTCATGAACCAGAATCAGGTGGGTAGCCATGTTGGTCTGAAGCAGTAGAACAAAGTTTTATTCACAGTATAAGCTTTTGTATGCATTGCACACTTCTTCAGATTCAGTGAAACCAGACTTCCCCAACCATTACATATAGGTGTGTGTGTGTGCAGGGCCGGCCCGAGGTGGTCCTGCGCTCTAGGCGAGCGCAGATGCCAACCTCCCGGCGGGGCCTGGAGACCATCCCGGCGAAGTCGGTGTGTGCTCCCCGCTGCAGCCGCCCCTCGATCTGGCCCAGCCACTCGGCCAGGAAGTCCGGCGAGTCTGGGCTGACTGGACTGAGCCATGAGGAGCAGCAAGGAGAGCGGCGGCAAGTCCTCTGGCACGCTCAGCCTTCTCGGCACCACCTGCGTCATCTTGGGCGGTGGGCGCATGGGAGGGAGGGCTAGCACGCCCCTCCACCTTCCCTTCGCTTGCTTAGGATCCCCACGGCTGCAGAGAGCCTGAGCAAGCCGGCTGCTGCAGGCCGAGTCAGATTATCTGATCTGAATCAGCTTTCCGCAGTTCTGCCCCATTATATCCTAAGGGCCATTGAAGTCAATGGCGAAAACATAGGGTATATTCTGGGGGCTGGAGGGGAGGGGGTTTGAGGGAGAGGCTCCAAACTCGCAGGGTAGCTGCTGGAGCCTCTCCCCAAAATAACCCCCATGTTTCAGGAACATTGAACCAGGGGGTCCAATTCTACGGGGCCCCAAACAGGTTGCTCCCATCCCCTCCATTGTTCTCTATGTTGGGGAAAAAAGTTACCGAGAACAGCAGCGGCCATAACTTTTTAAAGAGCCCCTCCCGAGAGCTGGGGGAACCAGAATGACCTCTCGTGTGAGGTGGAATTTGCGAGAGGTGGAATCACATGCGAGAGGTGGAATTTGCCCCTACAAGGCCACCACACCGGGGCTAAGGGAGGCAAGGGCACATTTCGGCCCCCCGCGCACGGGCATCACAGCTGCCGCCAAGAACTGCAGCTAAGAAATGTAAAAACAACAGGAACACGCTAAACAAGTTTATTCTTTGTTGATTGGTAGCCCTGTTCATATTCCATACGAATTTAGGTAAATATATTATATTAATGTTTTACATTTTAGTTGTTCCTCGCGTCATTATTTGAATTACTGAGATGTGTTCAGATCTGTACAGCTCTTTAAACCCCACCCTATGCACCCACATTGTTTAGTTTCCTTTCCCTCCCTTCTCCTCCATTGATCATCCAAGATGTGTGTAGCGAAGCTCTGTATAATTAGAAGCAGCTGGAGTTTCTATAGAAACCAAGATCCTAGCTAACAAACCAGCCTCGGCTTTTCCTAGACAACTGAAGAAACCATTGCGCATGCTCCACGTCGCTTCCTTCGCAGCTGTAGTGACTGTCTCTCTAGCCGCTACCTTCTCTATGTTCTAATGAGGTCATCGCTTTGCGCCCGGTGCGACGCTTCGGCTTGAAAATCATGGCGGCGGTGGATATACGAGGTATTTGAAAGGAGTTGTATGTGTCGTTGCTTAGATTTGATTGTTTGGTATACGGCAGCATAGGTTAGAAATGGACCCTCGGACGCAGCTTCGTTCCCTCTACCGATCTATGTTTGTTTTAATGCTCGAATTCCTCACGAGTCCTCCCAGAGTAGATCCAGGTGACAATGAAATCAGGCAATCTCCGGTTTGACCGGTGGGGGGGAACGAGGAGAAGGGAGAGCAGGAATACGATCACGGGACCGCAGAGCATCTCTAGTTCTGAAGCGTAGCGGAACATGTAGAACGCGTTCACTGGACGGCTTATGCCAGGGATAGTTGACTGTTATGGCCGCTGGAAAAACTCGCAGCGGGCTGATGGCTTGCCTCTTTTGAGCTCTTCCACCCGGCTCGGGAGGCGAGTAGATTGGTGTGGCTGAGTTGGTGGTGGGGGTGCCGTCATCGGACACAGGCGGAGGCAAGGTGCCAGCCTTCACAAACAGAATAATGTTTATGTATTTATTTGTGTTATTTATAATCCTTCTTTCTCACTGGGACTCAAGGCAGATGACAGGACAAATCAATACAACCAGCAGACCAGGGGTGAAGCACAGCATAAGTATTAACAAGACACCTTAAATGAAAGCAACAATTACATATTAGGAACCTACTTACTGCAACAGATAGAAACAACTCTACACATTGGTATAGACTGCAGTGTATTAACAAGACACCTTAAATGAAAGCAGCAATTACATATTAGGAACCTACTTACAGCAACAGATAGAAAAAACTCTACACATTGGTATAGACTGCAGTTCCTAACCCAAGGGTGTCAAACATGCAGCCCGGGGGCTGGATCAGGCCCCTGGAGGGCTTCTATCAGGCCCGCACTGGAACTGGCCATCTCCTGCTTCCAGTTCTGCTGCTGCTGCATCATAGCTTGCTTCACCAGACTCTCTTAATCACTTAGCCATTTCATGTTTTAACCTGCGTCCTCGACTCAGAGCTCTGAGCATGAGATTTCTGTGGTGAATGTCAATAAATCAAAAGTAGATTTGCAGATTACAGAGCTAATGTTTTAAGCATGTTTTTGTAAAAAATACCCTTTGTGTTTGTGTCCTTTATAAAGTTTATATCTCTGCTACCTGGCATTACATTTTATGATGCACAAGGCCCGGTCGAACAAGGTCTCATTTATGTCAAATCCAGCCCTCCTAACAAATGAGTTTGATACCCCTGCCCTAACCCTTTGCCCCAAGCTTCTTTATGAACCTGTTGTTACAGTGCAGCCCTGTTTCCTGTATAAAATCATTCTGGAATAATTCAGCTTTGCATAGGTAGCAGAAAACCAGGAGGGGGGGAGCCTTTCTGCCTTCATCAGGCAGACCATTCCGGGGGGGGGGGCAATAGAGAATGCATGTGTATGGGCAGTTGTTCATTTTGCCCATTTGCAGGGTAGCATCCATAGAAGGCCCTACCCAGATGAGTGAAGCTGTTGTGGTGGGGCATAGAGGGAGAGGTGGTCCTGTGGATATGAGGAACTAAAGTCATGAAGGGCTTCGTATGTGACAGCCAGTACCTTGAATAGAGCCTGGTAACTGATGGGCAGCCAGTGGAGTGACTGCAGAATGGTGGCAAAATGCACACTTCATCTGGCTTCCAGTAATAACCAAGCTGTGGCATTCTGTGTCAGATGGAGTCTCCAGATTGACTTTGAAGGGAGCTCTATCTAGAGCAGTCTAGTTTTGATGCTACCATGGAGTGGGTCCAGGTGGCCATATTATCTGTATCTGGGCTAGGCTGTGTTGGAAGAAGGTTTTCTTTGCAGCTATGTAAATTTGTTTCTCTGGCTGTAATGTTGGATCCTGTATAACCCCAAGGCTCTTAACTGAGTACAGGGGATAGGATTGTGCCCTGTGGAACCCCACAGGATAGGTCCCACCCTGATGATAACTGATCTCCAATGGCAATTCTTTGACTCTGGTCTGTAAGGAATTATTTGAACCAGTTCGGTGCACCTCCAGAGGCATCTGGATTGGGGCAGATTGGCAGTGCTGCTGCTGTTGGACCTGTTGGAAGTGTTCAACACGGTTGACCATCAGCTACTGATCCACTGCCTTACTGACACTGGAGTCCAGGGGCTTGCCTTGCAATGCCTTGCCTCCTTTCTTTAAGTTCAGGGATAAAGGGTGGCACTAGGGGAGCAGCTATCCTGAATGCACCCACTGGAGTGTGGAGTGCCCCGAAGGATGATGCTTTCCCCAATGCTATCTGCGCTGCCTTGCCCAGATTGCCCGGAGGCATGGGCTGGGATGTCACCAGTAAGCTGATGGCACCCAGGGCTATCTGTTGTTGGGTGGCCAGTCTGACTCTAAACCAGAAGATCTGGACTGGGCATTACAAGCTGTGGCTGGATGGCTTAGAATGATCCGGCTGAAATTGAATCCGATGAAGATGGAAGTCCTGTGCCTGAGCCGGGGTGGGTCAAGGGTAGGGATCCCACTCCCGACCTTTGATGGAGCTCTGCTGGTGCTAGCGCCAGAGGTGAGGAGTTTGGGAGTGCTCCTAGATGGAGGCCCAGGTAGCAGCCACTGCCAAGTCAGCCATTTATCATCTCTGGCTGATCAGGCAGTTGGTTCCCTTCCTCAAATGCTGCGACCTGGCAACAGTGATCCATGCAATGTTCACCTTGAGATTGGACTACTGTAATGCTCTCTACATGGGGCTGCCCTTGTCTCAGATCCGGAAGCTACAGCTAGTGCAAAGTGCGGTGGCCAGGCTTTTGCTGGGCCTCCCTATGCGGGATCACATCCAGCTTGTGTTGGAAGCACTGCACTGGCTACTGATAGCATACCGAATCTACTTCAAGGTCCTGGTTCTTACCTTTAAAGCCCTTTATGCTCAGGGGTCGACATACTTGAGGGACCACATTTCCCCACATGTTCCCCAGAGAGCACTGCGGTCAGGGTCCTAAAGACACCAGGCTGGCCATAGCCAGGGCCTTCTTGGTGGCAGCTCCATACTGGTGGAATGAGCTTCCAGAAGAGATCAGGGTCCTGCGGGACCTTACACAGTTTCACAGGGCCTGCAAGACGGAGCTCTTCCACCAGGCCTTCAACTAAGGAGCCACCCCCCAATAATTGCAAGCCCTGTCCTTCGGAGTCACCAACAACAGCCTGTGCTGGCCATATAAGAAACAGAACAAGGAGCGTATGAATAGGATAGGTCATCGACTTGTGCTGCTGTCGCCAAACAACATCATTATTGCAAGACTTAATATGTACTAGCACTTTATGATATTTGGATTGTTTTTAGAAGGTGTCACGATTGTTTTAACTGTTATCTATGTGTTTTAATTCTGTTTTAAGCTGTCCTGAGCCTGCTTCGGTGGGGAGGGTGGGGTATAAATTAAACAAACAAACCCCTGCTGCCTACTTATGCCTCCAAGCACCTTAACAAGATGGCATAGTCCACTGTATCAAAGGTGG